TATTCCCCCACCCCCACTTTAAGCATCCCGAAGCTGTAATTTGGGCTGCCTGCTGTTCAGTTTCCATGCTACCATCTATGTCAAGGGCCTATTTTAGGTCAGTCTGGTAAACTGCAGTTTTTGGTAAAAGCACTGTGGCCGACAGACTGCCAGAGCAGTAGTTTCCATTAAGTACTGACTGAGCCACAGCCGTATGTCTGCTGCAGAAGTTCTTGTTAGTTCAAGCTGCTTTGAAAAGTGAGTTCCTGAAACAAGGTGGGAGAATAGTTAGTTCCTCTCTGTACAGAATAAACCCTGTTAGGAGCACTAACCTTGACCCTGGGTGCCAGATGTTGGAGGAGGGAGCAAAGAACTTAGGAGACTTGAGCTCCAGTTTTCTTGCAGGAAGGGCCCTGGGAGACTGCCTGCTATCCCACACTGTCTACAGGAAGAGGTCTTTGGGGAAGAGTTTATTACTACCATTTTACTGGTGGGGCTGCTACTTGTCCAGGCTCACATAGCTAGTTGGTCGAAGTGGGATTTCAACCCTGACTTTTCTGTTACATATCAAGAGAATTTAGAAACTGGAGCAATTCCAGGGAAGGCAGCACCGTGAGGAGGGTGCAGATGCCATGGTGGTAGGTGTACTGGCCAGGAGGTGAGGAAATGTGAAAAGACATTCAAATATTTGAGTGGACCTGACTACTTTGGTAAGAGGCAGCATGATGGTAGTGGACAGGGCTCAGACTTCAGACTTGGGCACCAGGTCTCCCTCCCTGTGGTTAGAGATCATGTCAGGTTCATCTTTACATTGCCAAAACAAGTATTCCCAACATATACAGGTATATAGGAGGTGCTATGAATATACTGATCATGGAAAAGGTGTCCTTTCCTTCCCCAAGCTGCATTCTGGTGTTCCTGACCTTCACCCTTCCAACTCCTCTGGAACTTGCTTGGATCTTAGGATGATCTCCCTACCTCCTAGCCTGTAATTTGTTTCCTATTGCTGCTATAACAAAGTACCACAAACCCAGAGACTGAAACGCTTATTATCTTAGGGTTCTTTAGTTCAGAAGTCTGAATTGGGTTTCACTGAGCTAAAATGAAGGTGGCAGCAGGGTTGTGTACCTTCCTGGAGGCTCTTGGGGGAGGACCCATTTCCCTGCCCTGCCAGCCTCCCTAGGCTGCCCACATTCCTTGGCTCCTGGACCTCTATGTCCATCACCAAAGACAGCGGCATCCAGCCAAGTCTCTCTGGCATCACATCACTCGGACAGACTCTTCTTTCTTCTGTTATAAGCCCCATTGGGATTACATTGGGCCCTGGACGATCCAGGATGCTCTCCCTATTTTAAAGACCATCTGAGGGTGGGACGTGGTGGCTCACGCCTGTAATCCCAGACTTTGTGAGGCCAAGATGGGTGGATCATGAGGTCAGGAGATCAAGACCATCCTGGCTAACACAGTGAAACCCCATCTCTATTAAAAATATAAAAAATTAGCTGGGCGTGGAGGCATGCACCTGTAGTCCCAGTTACTCAGCAGGCTGAGGAGAATCACTTGAACCTGGGAGGTAGAGGTTGCAGTGAGCTGAGATTGTGCCACTGCACTCTAGCCTGGGCAACAAAGCCAGACTCCATCTCAAAAAAAAAAAAGACCCATCTGATTAGCAACCTTGATTCTCCTTTGCCATGTTAGAATAACATACTCACTGGGATTGGGATGTGGGCATATTGGGGAACTATTTTCTCTACCAAATAACCTGCTCTCCCTTTCACAAGGTTTTCTTCTTTACTTATAAAGCCAAACTCATCTAGCCCCTATCATAGCTAAAATACAATTCTAGAGGAAACTTCCTTCTCAAACTATGATCTCATTTTGCCCTTCATCTTCTCAAAAATAGTCTGTGATGTATTCACTCAGTTTCTTCTTGTTTGTCCAGTGGAACTTATCTCAATAAACGGTCCTGACTATACTTAAGTTTTTGTTTAACTTGTGGACAGAGACTTATGGATAGGTGCAAAAAATAAATCCTCTTTTGCAACCCAGAACTCATTGTTTAGTATGAGTTTTGATACATATAAGAAGGGATATTATGATAAGAAAAAGAAAAAAAAAACAGTACTGATAGCTCCCCTTTGCCGGGTGAGTACTTGGCCGCTTCCCTGTTCAGCTCTTCTGTGTTCTTTGTCCTGTGGATCTCCTCCTCCCTGAAGCTGTCCCCTTCTTGGCTTTCTGGTATTCCTCTTACCTGTCTGCTCCTGAGTCTCCTTTTCTCCCTTCTCTTTTTCTTCTGTCCCTGGAAGTCTTAGTCAATTTGTTATCCACGCCAATCTCATCTTCTCCCACCATTTTAATTCTGAACCTGGTGCTGCAGATTCCCAGATCTTGCTCTGACCTCTTTTCTGAACCCTCAGTCTGAATTTCTTATTGCTTCCCTTGGGTATTTCCAAATGAAAAGACCCTTGGGTACATGTTATATACCCCATGCAGCGTGTTTAACCTGGTTCTTAGCCCCCACTTTCACATGAGCCCTCTTAAAGCCTCTCACCTTGGTAGTCCAGGCTAGAAATAACCATCATTTCTGGCTTCTTTATTCTCATTTCTTTTTCTTCCTAGTATCTGCCATAGCCCATATGTTCTAGGCCTATTTTCCAGGTGCCCTCAAAATGCCAGTGGGGGCAGGTGGCAGGGAAACAAGAAAGAATATTATGGGAGTATAGGAATAAACCAAATAAACTTTGTTTTTATCTTAACCTTTTTTTCTTTTTTTTTTTGAGAGGGAGTCTTACTCTGTCACCTAGGCTGGGGTGCAGTGGTGTGATGTCAGCTCACTGCAACCTCTGCCTCCTGGGTTCAAGCGATTCTCCTGTCAGCCTCCCGAGTAGCTGGGAATACAGGCGCGTGCCACCACACCTGGCTAATTTTTGTATTTTTCGTAGAGATGGGGTTTCACTCTGTTGGCCAGGTTGGTCTTGAACTCCTGACCTCATGATCCTCCCACCTCAGCCTCCCAAAGTGCTGGGATTACAGGCGTGATCCCCCATGCCTATCTTAACCTTTTATAGTCCGTTTTTGCTTTAAAATGTGCATATGTGCATTAGTATTAGTATATGTAATTGATTAGTAAGTAGTACATAGTTTGGGGGTACATGCTCCTAAATTTTCTGTTTACATGGTGAGACTATCAAAGTTGGGCAAGTATGGATTTTCCAGTTTGTTTTAGCCAGAGAACGCTTTTACTTACGTCATGATTGATTGATTGATTGGAGACAAAGTCTCACTTCTGTCACCCAGGTTGGAGTGCAGTGGTGTAGTCTCAGCTCGTTGCAGCCTTGATCTTCCAGCCTCAGGTGATCCTCCCACCTCAGCCTCCTGAGTAGCTGGGACTACAGGTGCATGCCACCATACCTGGCTAAATTTTTCTTTCTTTGTTTCTTTTTTTTTTTTTTTTTTTTTTTTTTTGTGGAGACAGCATTTTGCCATGTTACCCAGACTGGTCTCAACCTCCTGGGCTCAAGGGATCTGCCCACCTCAGCCTCCCACAGTACTGGGATTATAGGTGTAAGCCACTGTGCCTGGCCAGAACCCTTTAAGTGAAATCTTAATCAATTAAAAAATATAAATCAAAAACAGAGCCATTCTGTTTGGAAAGAAAGTAGGGCCTCAAGCCCATTTTGTTCACTGTAATGGAGTCTCCTGAGGCACTTTTTGGATGTACATTTTGAAAACCAGTGGTTTAGATAGTTGGTATAGTTCAGGTCTGATTAAATCTATGGTCATGTAAGTCTTCATGGACATCAGTAGAAAAAGGTCCCTAATATCCTCCCTCCACCGTATTCCTCCACACTGCTGCAGCATCCTTAATCACGGAAGCACAGATCACATCCTCTTCGTTTCTCCACACCTTCTTCCTTTCCTGGGCAGCCCTTTGCACACAGTAGGTGCCCAGTGAATATTTGTTGAATGAATGGCAAATGCATGCCAATACTTTGTTGGCAAAATTTACGTTTGGAAGAGCAGGCTCTGTTCTTCCTGGACATGGCCTGTTTAGAAGTTGTTTTTTCTTGGCATTCCAGTTGTGGTCCTCAACCCCTGGGGCTCTGTGTAGTCACGCATGGAGTCTATCGGCCCAGGGCGTCTTCTCTGAAGTAGCACTGCAGCATTTATGGCATTGGTTTTTGTCACAGTTGCAAAGTGGCCCTCTTTCAGGCCTCATTTCCTTGCTTAATGGATTTGCTAACCCTGCGTCTCCTAATGTCAGTATAACCAAGTTTTAAATTTGTTGATTAGGGAGAAACCCTTCTGTAGTGTTTCTGCCAGTCCTGTACATTTAAATCTAATTACACTTGCTTTGACATTATGTAAATACAGTGTTAAATCAACCTTTCCCTTTGCAGCCAGGCCAGAGTTTCAGATGCATGTTCTGTCCTGGCTGATGTTCTCTCCTGGAGAAGAAGCAACTAACTGAGGGATGAACAGTATCTGCTAGAGCTGAAGTCTTGGCAGTATATAAGGAGAAGTTTGCCTATTTTAGTAGGTCAGCTGCTGCTCATCCCTTTAGGTGTCCCCTAGACACACCTGGGTGGCCCAGCTGCCTGGCACATTTTAGCAGGTACTGTTGACCTTCTGGGCCAAGAAAGGGGCCGCTGGGCTCGTTGAGGGCTCTCTCACTTGGGCTACCTCAGTAGTCTCATGGCAGTGAGCTTAAGGGACAGGGCGTGGCTCTTTCTCAGAGCTAGAGCAGGCTTGTTTTTGGTACATTTGTTTCAGGCTGCTCCTGAGAAGGCCACGAACTATACTTGGGTTTTGCCCTACATTTACATAATCCCTGTTCAGAATAGTTTGGGACATGGTATTGTCATTTGGCTTTTTGTAAGACAGGCATTTTCTGTGTTTGGTTTTATATATCTTTTTGTTGCTCTGTGCCCGTCTCTTTCCTTTGGTTTTCACTGTAAGGCTAACTTGTGCTGTGTCTCAAGTGGAGACATGACCAATTTAATTTTTTCTGGTTTGCCCAGGTTGCAGATGAATACATGTTTTCCCTGGAGGAGAATAAGAAGTCCAAGGGCCGCCGTCAGCCTTTAAGCAAGCTCCCCCGCCATCACCCACTTGTGTTGCAGGAGTGTGTCAGTGATGAGGGTAAGTGTTGTTTTTTCTTCATCAGGAGGAAAGCAGCTCACCACATTAGACTTGACAGGACAGGACATCAGAAGGCCAAGCTGAGGGATAAGAGTGGGCCTGCGGCTTAGCTGCTCTCCCAGATATTCCATAAGGAGGACAGGATTCCTTGTATCGAATTGACCAAATTTCATTGTAAGTTTTAGTATCTTGGAGTGTACCCTTACTAGGGGATAATTGCAGGCAGGTTTTCTCCTTTTTTTTTCCTTGGAGGTACAAGGCTGATTTTTCAGGATAGAAAATTCTGTCAGTGATGCAAAGCCCTGTGCTAGATATGTGGCTGCAGAGCTAACTAAGATCATGTTTGTGCCCTCAAGACACTCACAGGGTAGTGAGGAAACTGCACAGGTAAACAGATCACCAGAAAGAAGAGGTGTTAGTCTGGGCAGAAGAATAGCAAGCATAGCCATGGAGAAGAGAAGCAGGAGGCTGTCGTCAGAGGAACTATAGTCAGCTCACCATGGCTGGAGCTGGAGGGCAAGGCCAGGGAGTGCAGTGATAGGTGGGGTAGGAGGAGGGAAGCAAGATTCTGGACAGTGTTATCATTGGAGGCCAGAGTGAGGACCTTGTCTTACTGGCATTCAGGAGCCAGTGACATGTTTTAAGCAGAGGAATGTCATAGTCATTTAGATGCTTTTAGAAAAGATCACTCCTAGTGCTGGCTTCTTGAGGATGGCTTTGAGAGGACCAGATGGGCTTCTGTAATGGTCTGTCTACAATATGAAGGTCTGAAGTGGATGGTGGTGGTAGGGAGTGTATTTGGAAGATAAAATCAGCTGGATTTGGTGACTGGCTGTGGAGCTATGAGGATGGTAGTTGAGGACGATGAGTTGAGTGTGTCCCCGGTTTATAGCTTTGGTTGGGGAAACCTGTGGATGTAGACTTATGAGTTGGCACTGGGGTGACATTTGATACCATTGTTGGAAAAATGAGGCCACTCTTGGGGAGGGGACCTATTGGGGTGAACAGAGGCTGGGGCTAGGTGGACACAGGAGGGAGGGTAGCCTGTGAAGGAGGCAGAGAACTGGGGTAAGCAGAACATGTGTAAGGAGAACCAGGCAATGTAGCACTGAAGCTCAGGATGCATTGACATCAGTGAAGAGTGGTCTCCTTTGCTTCCTGGAGCCCAGAGATCCAGGAAGATCAGCATTGCAGAGCCTCAGCTCCGGCTGTGTTTGTAACTGGGCCCTGGTACCCTCAGGGAGAGCAGAATCAATTGTACTTGTTACTCTTGATTAATGTCAGGCTCTGTCCTACCCGGTCCTCTCCTTCCTGATCTGATGTCAGTGCCCCATCTCTGCTGTTTTTTTTTTTTTTAAGTTGAAAGATCATGATAAACTGGATGGGGAACATCCCTTCTGCCCTCCAGTCTGAAGTGTAGCAGGACCCTGACAAAGGTCCTAGGAAGCCCTCTGTGTTCTTATTCCACCCAGACAGGAGCTTCAGGTTCTCTGGGTAGCACCAGCCTATCTCCGGATTGGTTTACAGCAAGGTAGACTTTGGGAAACTGTAAAAGTTACCAAGAAGAAAACAAAATTACCCTTCAAAGATGACCATTATGAATATATTAACGTATTATCTATCCTCCTGACTTTTCTAGTCATATATTAGAATATGTCCATGTATATCTTTTTAAAATAATGAAATAATGCAATTGAGATAATAATATACAACCTCTCCTACTTTTTTTTTTTTGAGATGAAGCCTCACTCACTCTTGCCCAGGCTGGAGTGCAGCTGGCTGATCTTGGCTGACTGCAGCCTCCACCTCCTGGGTTCAATGATTCTCCTGCTTCAGCCTCCCAAGTAGCTGGGATTACAGGTGTATGCTACCATGCCCAGCCAATGTTTGTATCCTTAAGTAGAGATGGGGGTTTCACCATGTTGGCCAGGCTGGTCTTGAACTCCTGACTTCAAGTGATTCACTGCTTCAGCCTCCCAGAGTGCTGGGATTACACACATGAGCCACCACGCCCGGCCCCACAATATCCTTTCATCTTCAGTCCATGCCCATCTTTCCCTGCTTGTCCCAAGAATGTGTTTTATAGTTATTTCCTTTGAACTCTAATATAAATCAAGCTAAGGTTACATACTGTATTGGGAAGTTGTTTCTTTAATGTTTATGCCACCCCCTACTTTAAAATAAATTTCAATTCAAGCATAACAATTCAGTGACATGTACACATTTGAACTATACAGCTCAATGAAGTATTACATATGTAAACTGTATAATACTGCTTCCTGAAATTTTCACTTAATGTAGTGAACATTTCCCTCATCATTCAGTATTCACAAATATAATGATTTGGGGCCACTTTTGGCTTTGTAAATGGAACAGATGTCAGTGTGTTAATTTTTTAGTTGTGAGTGTGAGCCTATCTGTTTCTGTTTCTTCCATTCTATCTTGGTCACTCCTGTTTGGCCAGGATAAATTAAAAAATCTGTGCTTGGGTTCTAGGCATTGTGGTTCCTGATTGCAGCTGAACAATGGGGCACACAGGGGTTGGTTTTAATTGTCTGCGTTGGTGTCCTTAGGCTACGCTGAGGCAGTGCACAATGGCAGCTGCCAGATGCCTTTAGATTTAACATGACTTTGAGGGCAGGGTAGAAAACTATCTGCACTGAGCTGGTGTTGCCAGAAATGAAGAAACAGGAACCTAATGCAGGTACAGAGCAGAGCTCTCCTTGGCTGCTTTGAACAGATTTCAGGGTGTCTAGGAAAGCATTTCTGACTGGGAAGATGCGAGATCACTGGAGGGTCATAGCCAGGGATTGATGATGCCACTCATAGCGAGATGCAGTGATCCCTTGGAATGCCCCCTGTGATGGGGCTGGCACAGAGCCAGTCTCCTATCAGGGGCCGCATAGTTGGGCCTTGCGTGATCATACTTGGCAAAGAAGGGCATAGCAACTGTAGCTTCTCATACCTCCCCGGCATGGTGGAGCATCTGGAGAAATATTTTGGACATCTACCAAAGACTGTCCTCATTTACTCATAACCTTCAGAATTCTGGCGTTTCCTTTTACTTCCCTGTTTCTGTTTCCTTGTTTCTGCTGGGAGCTTGTAGACTGTGCCCCTGTCTCACTGATTGAGGAAGAACTGGGAAATGTGCACCTTTATCACTTACATAAGTTTTGTGAGCAAACTTTTTTTCTTTTCCACTCAGCTGTATATCCCTTTCTTGTAGGAAGATGCACCCAGAGGGGATTTTTCTTTCCCGGGCCTTGGTGAAGTCCAATAAGTTGTATGCTCTGCTGTCTAGCATACCTAGGAGGTACAGTCCGTCATGACCAGGGATATATGAAGGGCCAGGAAGTAAATATTTTAGGCCGTATAGTCCTCCTTGGTTTCTGTGGTTGTCATTTTTTAAATTTTTAAGCTCCAATGCTGAAAATGTAAAAACAAAGCTGGGTGCAGTGGCACATGCCTGTTATCTGAGCTACTTGGGAGGCTTTGGCGGGAGGATCACTTGAACCCAGGAGTTTGAGGCTGTGGTGGGCTATGATCGCACTGTAAATAACCACTGTACTCCAGCCTGGGCAGCATAGTGAGACTCCATCCCTAAAAGTAAAAACAATTCTTTTTTTTTTTTTTTTTTGAGACAGAATTTCACTCTGTCGCCAGGCTGGAGTGCAATGGCATGATCTCGGCTCACTGCAATGGCACAATCTCGGCTCACTGCAACCTCCGCTTCCCAGGTTCAAGCGATTCTCCTGCCTCAGCCTCCCTAGTAGCTGGGATTACAGGTGCATGCCACCGTGCCCAGTTAATTTTTTGTATTTTTAGTAGAAACGAGGTTTCAACATCTTGGCCAGGCTGGTCTCAAACTCCTGACCTTGTGATCCACCAGCCTCAGCCTCCCAAAGTGCTGGTATTACAGTTGTGAGCCACCGCACCCGGCAAGTAAAAACAATTCTTAACTTCCCGAGTGGGCTGGATTCAGCCTGCAGGATGTTGTTTGCCAGCGTCAGGACATTACGTCTTATGGCTGGGAAGAGGATTCATTTTGGGCATGCAGCTCTGCTTTCTTCTAAGGCAGAGCTAGGAAGGGTTAGGGAACCTTGTCCAGAATAGGTACCCCTGATCTTTCCAGAGGTAGCTGGGAAGTCCTGGCTAAGGACCATATTACAACTTTTAAGCCTTGCCCATTCCGTTATTTTCTTTCCTTGTTTAGTTGCACTAAAGGGAAAACTCTAAAAGGTAAAGGACTTAACATGCTGACATTTTGGAGGCAGCAAATAAGACAGTTTCTGGCAAGATGCTGGTTCATTCTGCTGTCCTTGGGCAGAGGGGTTGAATGTGGCAGCTGTTAAGGGAGAGCAGGGCAAGCTGAGCTCGTGGGGCAGGAGGAAGAATGTAGGCCATGAGTCAGTCTGGCCAGAGAATGGGGTACTGGCAGGACTTCCAACACATTGTCCAGATATTGAAGGAGTCTATTGACAATTGCTTCCACCCTTTCCCTTTATCATCCTTAGGAATCCAGGAGTCACCCTCGGTCAAAACCTAGGACCAGAAGTCCTAGTTGAACTCATCTGCTCTCCTGGCAGAGTGACAGGTGTGCAGGGTTGGTGCTGACTCACATTTCTGTTTCCTCTTCTAGAGACATCTGAACAGCTGACCCCTGAGGAAGAGGCTGAGGAGACAGAGGCCTGGGCTAAACCTCTGAGCCAACTGTGGCAGAACCGACCTCCAAACTTTGAGGCCGAGAAGGAATTCAATGAGACCATGGCCCAGCAGGCCCCTCACTGCGCTGTCTGTATGATCTTCCAGACTTACCATCAGGTAACTCAGCTCCATGCACTCTGTTTACCCAGGACCAGCAATCAGAGGGAAGCTAGATTTGTTAGTATTTAGCTTGTCACTGGTTGTCCTGGGAAAGGCCTCCTCCTCCCCCAGCATTCTCTGCCCCATCTGTGTATTGGTCAGTCTTCTCCAGGCAGATAACCCAGCATTGTGGGTTTCAATTGAGAATGCTTTGGAGACAAGCTGAGGGTGGGCTTAGGCTTCCCTTTGCACATGCACTCATCACAGACATCATTGTTTGCATAGCAATCTGCATTTTTGTTAGTCTAGCCCATGACTATTCCTGCCAAGTGGTTTGCAGTCCTGGCCAATGTGGAGAACTGTAATTTCTTTTTTTTTTTTTGAGAACTGTAATTTCTTTACCACAGCCTGAACTTCAGATGAAAAGCTAGATCCTCTAATGTTGTCTTTCCTTTCTCATTGCCACAATGGGTGTTGCCAGTAGCAGAAGGAACTTGGGTAGAGGCAAGGGCCTGATATGTGAGGGGCTGGGAAGCGAGGTTGCTGAGTTCAGCTGTGTGCCTCCTACTCTGGGGCTTCTGTGGCTTCGTTGATGGATCTCTTTGGGTCCAGCTGTAGGATGCCAGGAAGGCATTCACAGCAGCAGGTGCCAGGAGACCAGCTCAGTCCCAGCTGGGACCTGCACAGGGTGGCAGGGGTAGATAAGTGGTCCTTACCTGTTCTGGTGGTTAAAGTGGCCTGGCTGCTGCTGAGACTGGCAGGGCCCCAGATTCATGCTTGCTAAAAATGGAACCTCAGACCAATACACTTTGGATTAGGAACTCACTAAACCTTTCCATTGACAAAAAGCAAAACCAAAGCCTTTGCCTGTGAGAGGAGTGAATGGCTGGGTTCTTACTATCAACAGGTCTACTAAGTAGGAGTTTCACAAATGACATAGGCTCTGGGGTTGACATGTTTCTGGGTCTCATCCTTAGAATGGCGGTGAAGGTGCCATCCAGCAGCAGAGCCGAGCCAGCAGATACTTGCAATCAGTATAGTTTGCCAAGGGAAGTATGTGGATATAAGTTCTTCCTGGAGGGACCCTGAGCCAGGAATCACAGGTGGGGCTCCAGCCATGTAACAGTGCTGCAGCTCAGCACTGCTGCTGACCTGCTGACAGGCATCACCAGAGGCAGTCAGTGCTGGCCCATTAAGAGCATCTGCTCTGGGTGCTCTCCCCAGGAGGGGTCACCATACGGTGTAGCATGTAAGGGAGCCCACAGTAGCAGCCTACCTGCTAACATCTCAGTGCGTTTTTGTTTTGTTTTGTTTGAGATGGAGTCTTAGTTTGTTACCCAGGCTAGAGTGCAGTGATGTGATGTTGACTCATTACAACCTCTGCGTCCCACGTTCAAGCAATTCTCCTGCCTTAGCCTCCTGAGTAGCTGGGATCACAGGCATGCACCACCATGCCCAGCTAATTTTTGTATTTTTAGTAGAGATGGGGTTTCATCATGTTGGCCAGGCTGGTCTCAAACTCCTGACCTCAGGTGATCCATCTGCCTCAGTGTCCCAAAGTGCTGGGATTACAGGCATGGCCTCAGCACTGCAATCCTACCTTGCCTGGCCTCTCAGTGCATTTTATTACCACTTGCTTTGGGAAGATTGAAATCCCAGTTGCCTCTTACCTTGCTCCCTTTTCTCAGTTGTCCCCTAGGGGCCTTTGTTTGATGCTGCTGTGAGAAATTGAATTTGAGTCATTAGAGGTAACTTCAATTAGCAGCTCTGGGATAATGGCTGTGCACCCGGGAGCTATAGCCATAGTCAGATCGGTAAGAGAGCCAGCTTTCTGCTGATAGAGCAGGTGGAAGGCTAAGAGCATAGGTGTGTGCTCACTGAGGTGTACACTTGTTCTTTCCCCTTAGGTTGAGTTTGGAGGCTTTAGTCAGAACTGTGGAAATGCTCCAGATTTGGCCCCCCAGAAGCAGAGGACCAAGCCATTGATTCCAGAAATGTGCTTCACTTCGACTGGCTGCAGCACGGACATCAACCTTTCTACTCCTTACCTTGAGGAGGATGGTACCAGCATACTAGTTTCCTGCAAGAAGTGCAGCGTCCGGGTCCATGCCAGTGAGTGCTGCTCACCTTTCTCTGTGTCCTGTCCCAGGAGTATGGACCTGCTCACTGCAAGTCCTTGCCACGTACTGGCCTCCCAGTCCCTAAAAGGTTATTGCCGTGTTATTGGGGAGTTTTTTTGCTGGTTGATTTTTTTACTGTGTCTTCAGGGGTCCATACTTGCAGTAGTTATCTCTGTGCTATCCTCTTGGTTGCAGATAGCAGAAAGGGATTAGTCACTGCTACTTACTAGGTTTTTGTATTAGTGAATCTATAGTTTTTGACTTTTTGAGACTTTGAGCCATACTGTACACCTGAGTCCTGGGAACTCAGACTAAAGAAAACTCAGGGTTTTCTGTGAAATTTGGTTGTAGCTTTGGGAGGTGGTATATGGAAAGGAATTGCAGATCCACCTTTTGACTCTGACCATTGGGTTTAATTTGCTCATCTTGGTGTCCCTGTTAGGTTGCTATGGGGTTCCCCCTGCAAAGGCTTCTGAAGACTGGATGTGTTCTCGGTGTTCAGCCAATGCCTTAGAGGAGGTGAGTGATCCTGCACTGTTACTGTCTTCACTGCGAGTCTTGGCACATATTCAGGGCCAGACGATTTCATGTTGGACTTAGTATTCCCAGCAATCTGCATAGGGCCTGGTGCACAGTGATGTCAGAGAGCAAGTACTGTGAGAGTGAATCCTATGACAGTGAGAGTGGCTGCCCACTTAACGGAGTCTGGGCGCTGTGTTTGCTCCATTGTGTAAGACCAATGAGTGGTCTTCCTGTGGAGGAACAATAACTCCCTTACAACAATTTAGCCATTTTGAGTTGAAGCCTCAGAAAGGGGCTCAGATGATTAATTGTGCAGCCTTCTCTTCATTGTACCCCCTGGAACCTGGCTGTACCTAGCCCACGTCAGAGCCCTGTCGTGCCTCTAGTTCAAGCAAAGTATTTTTTGTGACTCTGCTGAGTTGTTATTAGTAGTAACAGTGAAGAGGATTGTGTGAAGTCACGCGAATACTTGGTACACTTTAGCCCTGAGCCGTCTCTCTTCCAACAGGGCGTCCTGGTGCAGGGGCTGCCTGGTTGAAGCCCCAGATGCTATTATGCTGCTTTTTTATGTTGAGGAGTTGCCCAGAGCAGGTCCAGAGGAGAGCAGATTGAATGTTAATGACTTGGTGTTAACCACTTTTTCTTCCCTCTCTCTTCTTGGCAGGACTGCTGTTTATGCTCATTACGAGGAGGGGCCCTGCAGAGAGCAAATGATGACAGGTAAGTTTCCTGAGCTGTGGCTTGGAATGCACAGGCTGAGTTCTGAAGCATGCAGTGCCTTTGTGAGGGTACTAGCTGTTCTTCTGAATGACTGATGAGGATTTAGGAAGCACATCGTGTGGAGCTGGAATAGCATCTCCAAGACTCATTTTAAAAATGGAATGCTAAGGGAGCCAAGCAGCCCCAGACTTTCCAACTCCAGCTGCTCCTCTGCAGCAGAGATGTCAGTGACATCCTCCTTTGAAGGAGCTAAGAATGGACTCATGAGAATACGAAGGCCGTGAAGATGATACACAGGGACTGTGTGGGCTGGAGTGAGGACATTCACCTTGTCACACCTGGGGCTGGTGTGCAGAGGTAGCCACAGGCTAGCAAGCACTTCTCCACACGGCAGACTCCCTGGCTCAGACCTGCTGTTTGGAATGAGGCGAGTGTGCTCAAGGAGGACACTGAGGAGAGCTCAGACAGGACCGCCCGCTATGGAACTGAATCTACTGAAGTTTCTGGGCTTCTCAGCTGTTGGGCAGCTCATTTTCATGGAGTGAATTTTTGTGCTTAGACATGTGTTTGCTCATTCTGAGGTGGAAACGTAAGCTCAGTGAGGTTTCTGACCTGAAAGAGCCGGCTGTCTAGGGCATGGTGTATGCAGGTCAGTGCTGAGTATTCTGCTTCCAAGTAGAATCCTGTGGAAACTTGCAGCATACGTTCAGTCCAGCACCTGCCCCCAGGAGTCCCCGTCATGCTGTCCCTGATAGATGGCTACTCTGCTTGCTGCTTCTGCTCCTTTAAAGGCACTTGCTGCCATTATTTGAGGTCACTGTGTTCCTCACAATCTCAGGATAGTGCTGGGAACATTATTTCTTATTTGGAGTGGAAGTGGCTCGGCTTGAACCTCTTGCCTTTACCTGTGAATGCCTGTTCTGCCCTTCAGGGCCACACAGAACAAGTCTGTTCCTACTCTAAAAAGACAGCCCCACCAGTACTGCAGATAGCTTCCATGAATCCCAGTACTGTCTGTTGTAGGTTTTCATACAGCCTGGTTTTAAGAGTTTTCACCATTTTAGTTCTTCGCTTGGTGTATGCTGGTTTCCCAAAATGTCTAAAACTTACTATAATTCTTAAGGATGTCTGCTGAATAGACCTCTCAGACTAAGTGGGGCTTGGGTCAGACTTTAAGAGTGAGTCAGCTATGGAAAAAGGGAACAGAAGGGAAAGGTCATTTCAGTCTAGGGGAGAGGTTTGGGCAGAGGCCAAGAGAGAGTTGTGATTATTGGCAGATTGGGGCACAGCCAGGGATATTTTCAGGAAGCACTCAGGTCCTGTGGTAAAAGAGGTCTACATAGAGCTCTCCAATTTATTCTCATCCCCTGAAACCTGCTACACACCATTAGCCTGCGGCTCTGCTCATTTTTCAACAGATAGTGAGTGAGTGGTGTAAGAAGTATGATCCTGTGCTAACCTAGGGCAGTGGGCAGTGGCAAGTGGCAGCAGCAGCAGTTGGGGTGGCACTGCTTGCACATACTCAGAGGAGAGACAGTTCCGGTTCTCACCTTCCCGGGTCCCAGGCACGTGCTGGTGGAAGTCAGTGGTCACCCAGGTGAGGGAGGAAGCACTGTCAGCAGGCTCACATGAGAAGAGATGGCCACAGAACCTTGGGCCCAGAGGTAACTGAGGTAGCCTTTGCCTTTTGGCAGGTGGGTCCACGTTTCATGTGCTGTGGCAATTCTGGAAGCAAGGTTTGTCAACATTGCAGAAAGAAGTCCAGTGGATGTGAGCAAAATCCCCCTGCCCCGCTTCAAACTGGTAAGGGCTTGTAGACACTACATAATTTCCTGACTTACGAGGCTCTGGGTAGAAGAGAACAGTGACCCCTGTACCCCTTGGTTTTGGTTAGAGTTTGTGATTCTCACTCTGTGGTTAAAGTCCTTAGTGGAGACTGGACGTGGTGGCTCATGCCTGTAATCCCAGCACTTTGCGGGGCTGAGGCGGGAGGACCATGATGTCAGGAGATCGAGACCAGCCTGGGCAACTTGGTGAAACTAAAATATAAAATTGCCTCTATTAAAAATATAAAATTAGCCGGGGGTGGTGGCACACACCTGTAATCCCAGCCCCTCAGGAGGCTGAGGCAGGAGAATTACTTGAACCTGGAAGGTGGAGGTTGTAGTGAGCCGAGACTGTGCCAGACCTGGATTAGAGCAGGCTGTTGTGTCCTTGTATTTTGGGAAGGGGCTAGTTCTTACTTGCTTGACTTTGCATTTGGGAGGGGAACAATAGAGGAAGCTGTAGTGTCAGTTCATGCAATCACTGGTTTTCTTCCCCTGTGCTACAGAAATGTATCTTCTGTAAGAAGCGGAGGAAAAGAACTGCTGGCTGCTGTGTGCAGTGTTCTCATGGCCGCTGCCCAACTGCTTTCCATGTGAGCTGTGCCCAGGCTGCGGGTGTGATGATGCAGCCTGACGACTGGCCTTTTGTGGTCTTCATTACCTGCTTTCGGCACAGGATTCCTAATTTGGAGGTAAGAGAGGGTGCCATGCTGCAATCCTCTTGAGTTTTCGTGATCATTTTCTCTGCCTGTTTTCCATTTATTGTGTCAGCAACTGTTTCCTCAAGCATTCTGCATTATGGAGAGTGCTAATAAGTTAAGGGATTGTGAGACGGCCCCTGTCCATCTCCACTCCCTGCCTTGTACTCCATAATACAGTGGCACCAAACTGCTTGTAGTTGATTCCTTTTGATTATCTCTTTATTTGTCTGCCTCTCCAACAGGATAAACTCCTCGAGGGTCCATATCTTATTAATGTGGGCATCCCTATTACGTACGGGCCATGCAGAACCTCTGAAAATGTTGAGAGCTCCCAAGAGTTAACCATGAATTGCCAGACAGTAGAGATTTCTGCAGTTCTCTGAATGGTAAAGCTTAGAGAAAAAGAGACATGTAATGTTAGAGGAGCTGTGAAGGGGTTTGGATTGAAGGTGGCATTTGGAATGGGTTTTGAACAATAAAAAGGAATTGTGTGCAGAGGCCATTCAAAGCTTCAGAAACAGAATGAGCAAGTTGCAGAAGAATGACCACGAAAAACTGGTTATGGGAGTGTGACGGGGATGATGCTTAAGAGGTGGACAGTGCCGGAGGATGAAAGCCCTGCACTGCCCCTCTCAGGAATCTGACCTTTCTTCATTGGATGAGGAGAACTTGTAATATTTTGATTCTGAATTATAGTTTGTGATAATCACTTGGGTGGTTGTTTGAAGAGAGGATTCAAAGAATAAGAATTTGAGGCAGAAAAACCAGTTAGACTAGGAGAGAGTGAGGTCTGAAATGGAAACACATAGGCAGGGCTTTGGGGTTGCATTTAACTTTGAGATCCCACAACAGGTAGAATTGATAGGGTCTGTTGACCCTCCTGGGTTGAGAAGCGGAGAGGAAGAGGAAAGGGGAAGTAGATATTGAGGATGACTCAGGTTACTCCCTTGAGAGATGGGAAGGGTGCTAATATGATGATGTTAGTCCCTGCCATCAGGAACTGAGTTGAAGCAGTGTTGTTCTGCAAGGGAGAGAAGGAGGGATGAGAAAGAGAAAAGTAAATGCTGAGGTCGCTGGAGCATTCTGGAGAGTAAGTGAGGGTAAAGGTTTGGCTATTAGCATTTAACAGCATCGTTAAATCTAGTTCCCATTAGAAACTGGGCTCTGGAGATTCCCAGCGGAAGGAGCAGGTAGCAGAGCATGAAGCAGTAAAGCAGCTGAGAAAATGGAGCAAGCCAGTGGGAGGAAGGAGGGTCACACGTGATAGAGAAGGCAGGGCTGGTGTGGTGGTCGCTAAGTACTACAAACTGGAGTGTCCCCGTGAGGTAGTTAGGTCAGAAGCCAGACCATAGTTGGGGAAGGCTCTGCCGTCAGTGAGTTACAGTCTAATTGAAGAGATGATCATATAGGTTTGACAACAATGTGGTAAATGCATATTCAAAGGAAGAACATGATACATGGCCAGCCCAGAAGGATGAACTTTTCACTCTGCCATTTGGGATTGTGGAAAAGTCCTGGTTGGCTGACTGCATTCTTTTTCATGAAGATGTTGAACATGACTGGTGGTCAGAGGTATGCTTAGGACCTTAGGAAGATGGGAACATATTCTGTGTGAGAATGAGACTCCGGAGTGTCTCAAGGGCCCTGCCATGGCCATCCCTGGTACCCTTACCATGCCCTTCTTATTCTAAACTTGCCCTTGATGCAAGTAAAAACGTGAGGTAGTACTGAGACACAGCTATGATAGGGAAATAGGAGTTTTGTCATACACAGAATAATGATTCTGTGATAATTAGTATTGCACATGCTTAAGTTGGCATCTGTAGACTGTTCGTGCTATGAGGAAATGGGGGGGGGACTGTTGAGTCAATATTTCTTTCACCGATTTGTTCTTCAAATATTTATTGAGCATCTACTATGTGCCAGGCAGTTTTAGGTGCCAGGGCTATACCACTGAACAAGACAAAAAAGTCCTTGCCCTTCTGGTGTATACAGTACAGTTGAAAGATACATAGGAAGCAAGTAAATACACAGTATAGCAGATGGTGAGAAGTGCAAGGATAAAAATTAATCCAGATAAGGGGAATGGAAGATTAAGTAGTAAGGAATGATGCCAATAAGTTGACATTGGAATGGAGGTCAGTGTGCAAGTAACTGGGGAATGGCATCTCAGGTAGAAGAACCAGCAGTGCAGAAGCCCTGGGCGGCAGCTCGTGTGGCACACTTGTTCACGGAACAGCAAGGGGGCCCAGCATGGCTGGGGCAGAGTGCCTGGGCAGGCTAGCAGGAGTGCTTGGACATGAGGCTGTCACATGCTTTGTGATCCTGTTTGCATCAAGGGGAAGTTCAAGATGAGAAGGGAAAAATGGCAATGGCAGGGCCCTTGGAATGGGGAGCAGTTTGTTGTGTGTAGCTGGAGACATCTGTGAAACCTGAGTTTTTGTGCCCTAGCCCTGAGGGTAACGCTGGTGCTAAGATGTGGTGCAGCTTTGCCTGGGGGCCCAGGCCACGGGGCACCTATTGAGTCTCTCCTTTCATACTTTAATGTTTATGTATATCTGAGCTGCCTACGTGAGTAGGTGCTATTTGGTCAGTTCCTAGCAAGATCAGAGAAGTCCTTGTTGTTCAGAGAGTTTTGGGTAAGATACGGTATAAGGGCCAGTTGTAGACTAGCTAAATTTATAGGAGGAGCTAAATTTATGGAGGAAAATGTACTGGTGTCTTCAGTGTTCTGGCTGGGATGGTGGGTATCTGGAAAGGCTTGGTTTAGCTCCCATCTCTTCTCTCCTTTTTACTTTTACTTTCCCATGCTTATCTTTCCCTGATAAGAAAGAACTAATTGATCTTGGTCTCCATATGCCAGGCCTGCCAACTCCATGTGTGAGTAACTGAAGCCTCTGTTTTTTTTCAGCGTGCCAAGGGGGCCTTGCAAAGCATCACTGCAGGTCAGAAAGTCATTAGCAAGCATAAGAACGGGCGCTTCTACCAGTGTGAGGTGGTCAGGCTCACCACCGAGACCTTCTATGAAGTCAACTTTGATGATGGCTCCTTCAGCGACAATCTTTATCCTGAGGACATAGTGGTAATATCTGCAAGGAGCTTCTTGAGCATTTTGAAATGGGGGGTGTTTCTAATGTCTGGCAGACTGTGTGTATGCCTGCTCTTCTTAGCCAGGTCATGGTCCCATCACCTAGTCCTCAAACAGAAAGAAGCATTTGTACCAGTCTTTCCTTGCAAAAAAAACTGTGTGGTGCAAGGATATGCTGTTTTCCCTAGAAGTTCCCGGGAATCATAATTTTCTGTAATTCCTTGAAACCTGCATCTGTTGCAGTCTGAATTATCCTTGAGGGCATTCTAGTGCAATTGTAGAGCCCAGGCTTTGGAATCAAATATGCCAATACCAGCTTCATTGCTTAGTAGCTTTGTGATTTTAAGAGAATTATCCAACTCGTTTTTCTATCAGGCCCTCTTAGTAGATATATAGAATCTGCTTTTGTCTCTTCACAGTGGAGGGCTTTAGGGCTAAGTAGAAACTGCCTGGAGATACCCCTAGCCTGCTTATGTTGTTAACACCTGAGACACAGTGGCCCCACATGGATCCAATCCTAGGTCTGGCTTGGTATTGAGGACCTAGTTCGGGTTTTCCCTACTCCCACCTTGCCTTTTCACTTGGTAGACTAAGCACCAAAGTCGAGAGGAATGAAACCATTTTTTCATTTAACAAATCAGGTATTGACCCATGTTTATACCACATTAGCCATCTAGTTGCTAAAAGGACATTCCTTAGTTATAAGGTAGACTTATAGTAAAGGCGACATTAGTAGTACTCATAGCAGTAGCATAGCTATGATTTATTTATTTTTGAGACGGTCTCACCCCGACGCCCAGGCTGGACTGCAGTGGCACAGTCTCAGCTCACTGCAGCCTCAATTTCCTGGATTCAGGTGATCATATCACCTCAGCTTCCCTGGTAGCTGGGATTACAGGCATGCACCACCACACCCTGCTAATTCTTAAGTTTTTTTGTAGAGACGGGCCTTTGCCATGTTGCCTAGGCTGGTCTCGAATTCTTGGACTCAAGCAATCTGCCCACGTTGGCCTCCCAAAGTGTTAGGATTACAGGCATGAGCCACTATGCTCCGCCTTATTGTTTTGAGAGACCAGGTCTCACTGTCACTCAGGCTGAGTGCAGTGGCTGTATCATAGTTCACTGCAATCTCAAATTCCTGAACTCAAGTGATCCTCCTGCCTCAGCTTCCTACATAGCTAGGACTACAGGCACATGCAGCCATGCCTGGCTAATTTTAAAATTTTTTGTAGTTACAAGGGTCTTGCTTTGTTGCTCTCAGGCTGGTTTTGAACTCCCAGCTTGAAGCGATCCTCACACCTTGGCCTCCCAAACCACTGGGATTACAGGAGTTTGAGCCACCACATGTGGCCCCTGCTGTAATTTATTAAGCTGGTACAGTATGCCAGGCACTATGCTAAGTGCTTATTTCAGATATCTCTCTATCTTCTCATACTCACTCTGAGAAGTATGTGGTATTATCTCTAACTTACAGTGGTCTCATGATTCCGTTTTCTAAAAGTTAGAGTATCCCAAAGAGCTTGTGTTTCTGTGGGTTATATCTAAAAATATTTAGTCTTATTAGAAATTAAAACAGGTTGATTTAAAATAATGCATTTTTTTTTTAGATTAAAAAGTAACTTTTCAGGCTGGGTGTGGTGGCTCACACCTGTAATCCTAGCACCTTGGGAGGCTTGGGGTGGGTGGATTGCCTGAGCTCAGGAGTTTGAGAGCAGCTTGGGGAAGACTGTGAAACCCCGTCTCAAACAAAACAAAACAAAAAACCAAAAAAGGTAACTTTTCTAAAACAAAAACAATTAGAAGAATGTCATTTCTGCAATTTTACAAATCTCTTTAATGTCACTTCTTGATTCAATCTATTGTGATACACTGTTTAGGTTAAAGTATAGAAAGGAAATTCATCCTTGCACAGATATGTAATTGGAAAAAGGAGAAGTTTTTTGTTTGTTTCTGTTTTTTGAGATAGAGTTTCACTCCCATCACCCAGGTTGGAGTGCAATGCAATGATCTCAGCTGACTGCAACCTCTGCATACCAGGCTCAAGTGATTCTGCTGCCTCAGCCTCCCAAGTAGCTGGGGACTATAGGCACTTGTCACCATGCCCAGCTAACTTTTATGATTTTTTTTTTTGAGACAGAGTTTCACTTTTGTTGCCCAGGCTGGAGTGAAATGGTAGGATCTCAGCTCACTGCAACCTCCTCCTCCTAGGTTCAAGCAATTCTCCTGCCTCAGCCTCCTGAGTAGCTGGGATTAAAGGCATGCACCACCACGCCTGACTAATTTTGTATTTTTAGTAGAGACAGGGTTTCTACATATTGGTCAGGCTGGTCTCAAACTCGCGACCTCAAGTGATCCACCTGCCTTGGCCTCCCAAAGTGCTAGGATTATAGGCGAGAGCCATCTTGCACATCCTCAGCTAACTTTTTAATTAAATGAGATTTAATTTTAGATGCGGTTTTGCAGTGTTGCCCAGGTTGGTCTCAGAACTCCTGAGTTCAAGCAGTCCACCTACCTCGGCCTCCCAAAGTGCTGGGATTACATCTGTTGAGCTACCACATCCAGCCAAGAGAAGTATTTTAATAGTCTTTCAGGCAATTGTGTTTATTGTTCTCTCATATCCACCAAAACTCAATGGAAGTAACAGCTGTTTTTGTTTGTTTGTTTTTAAAGAGATGATGTCTTGCTTTGTTGCCCAGGCACTTCCCGAGTAGCTGGGACTACTGGCATGACTGGCTATTTGTAGAAACAGGGTCTTGCCATCTTGCCCAGGGTGGTCTCAAACCCCTGGGCTCAAGCGATTCTCTTGCCTCAGCCTCCCAAATTGCTGGGATTACAGGTGTGAGCCACCGCTCCTGGCAGGTTCTTAAAAGTTAGTTTCAGCGTGGCATCTGAAAGGTCAGTGAACTTTTCATACTGTTACACTAAAGCCCATTGGTCTCTTCTGAATGGATCTTTCACCCATGCATCTTTTTATAACATCTACGTTGGTCATTGAGAAAATATTGGTGCACTGGCCTATGGATAGCCTAGAAATGTTGTTAAATATTATTAAATACTTCTAAAATTACATTTGTTAGTATCACTTATAATCATCAAAAAACTTGCTGCTTCTCTGAAATGCTAATATTTGCTTGAAAGCCTGAATTTTGTTATTGGCAACAGATAACGACTCGTGTTTTCCTTGACATGACGGCGTTCACGTCATCATTTTCAAGAATATGTCTGCCAGATACCTAAGTCTGAATAACCATAGTTTGTCAGTCATTTTTTTTCTTTTTAAAATTTTTATTTCGTAGATTTTTTTTTTAAAGATAGGGTCTCACTTTGTTGCCCCACACCACTGTTGGAGTGCACTGGTGTAGTCATGGCTCACTGCAGCCTCATCCTCCTGCGCTCAAGCAATCCTCAGCCTTCCAAGTAGCTGGGACTACAGGTGCGTGCCCCCATACCTGGCTAATTTTTGATGTTTTGTAGAGATGGAGTCTCCCCTATGTTGCCCAGGCTGGTCTAGAACTCCTGGGCTAAAGCGATCCTCCTACCTCTGTCTCCCAAAGTGATGGGATTATAGGCATGAGTCACCGTGCCCAGCCCAGTCATATTTTTCAAATAAAACTGTAATTCTGTGAACAAAGCAACCAGTGTAGTTCACAACTCTAACAACACAGATATATTTCTTTGAGACAACCAAAAGTGTCTTATGAGGACTTAACACATGTACTCGATTAAAATTTAACAAAATTAATAATTTTTACTGCTTCATCAAGGGATATTGTTATATGCAACCGAGTTTTTACTCTTTTCTCCTAAATTATGAGTGTACAGTGGTGAAAAATGCAATAACAACTATAGTAGAGCTTGGGGTCAGTGCCTTCATTTGTGCGCAGGTGCCAGCAGTTGTGCCTATCCTAGGTTTGACACTCACTATAAATGACAACACAGTGACAAAGGTTAATAGTTTAATATTATAAAAATAACTGGCCAGGCACAGTGGCTCACACCTATAATATCAGCACTTTGGGAGGCCAAGGCAGGCGGATCCACGAGGTCAAGGAGGTTGAGACCATCCTGGCTAACATGGTGAAACCCTGTCTCTACTAAAAATACAAAAAATTAGGCATGGTGGCACACGCCTGTAATCCCAGCTACTTGGGAGGCTGAGTCAGAAGAATTGCTTGAATCCAGGAGGCGAAGGCTCAATTAGCCTGGCTAATTTTGTATTTTTAGTAGAGATAGGGTTTCTCCATGTTGGTCAGGCTGGTCTTGAACACCCAACCTCAGGTGATCCGCCCACCTGGAGCTTCCAAAGTGCTGGGATTACAGGTGTGAGCCAAGATCAGGCGACTGCATTCCAGCTTGGGCAACAGATTGAGACTCTGTCTCCAAAAAAAAAAAAAAAAAAAAATTCTTATAGTTGAGTACAGTTCTAGCATTTCTTCATGGCAGAGCCCTGGAGAACCCTCAGAGGAACAGTTGAGGGAATGTAAGAAGGACTCTTGATTCTGGCACTTAACTCCTATGTTTACTAGGTTTATTATAGCTGGATTTTTTTTTTTTTTTTTGAGACAAATCTAACTCTGTTGCCCAAGCTGGAGTGCAGTGGTATGATCTCGGCTCACTGCAGCCTCCACCTCCTGGGTTCAAGTGATTTTTCTGCCTCAGCCTCCTGAGTAGCTGGGACTACAGGCACGTGTCACCATGCTCAGCGATTTTTTTTCATTTTTTGTTTTTTAGTAGAGATGGGGTTTCACTATGTTGGCCAGGCTGATCTTAAACTCCTGACCTCGTGATCTGCCCTCCCCTTGGCCTCCCAAAGTGCTGGGATTACAGGTGTGAGCGACCATGCCCGGCCTGGATTGTTTTCTTTTTTTGTCACCTAGAAGCAGGAATGGGCAGAGAAGGAGGGAGACTTTGACTTAGCAAGGTCTTTAACTATTAATTTTTCAACCCGGAGAGAGCTGCCTTGCTCTCTAAAACAGTTACTTTGTCTTGGTTCACTCTTCCCTGAGTAGAGGACAGTTACCTTTGTGTGCAGGTGGACCTTCCTTTCACCTTCCTTCCTTCCTGTTTCCTCAGAGCCAGGACTGTCTCCAGTTGGGTCCTCCTGCTGAAGGGGAAGTGGTCCAAGTGAGATGGACAGACGGCCAAGTCTATGGAGCCAAGTTTGTGGCCTCCCACCCTATCCAAATGTACCAGGTATCCAAAGATTCTATCTTCCTAGGGAGTGGGGGATGTTTGATTAATTCTGTGCTTCCTCTTGAGCCAGAGGTGAGAGTCTTTGCTCTTGGGAGAACGAATATGTTGGCAACCCTTTCAGAGCTAGGGGTCTGCCCTGTGTCCATTCTGCCAAATGCGAAGTAAGGTAGTCCTTATTTTAGTGCTCTAACTCCTTCTTTGACTGTAGGAGACTGCCATTGTGCATGGTGGACCAGGGAAAGAGTCAGGGATATCCTAGCCAGAAGGCCTTTGTTTCCTTGGTAGGTGGAATTTGAGGATGGCTCACAGCTTGTGGTTAAGAGAGATGATGTGTACACGCTGGATGAAGAGCTTCCCAAGAGAGTCAAGTCTAGACTGGTGAGTATTTTCTGTGTGTCCCCAGTTCCTGTCTCGGAGGGAGGGAACAAGATAAGGATGCATCCTTTTGTATTTTTCTTGGAGTAGCTGACCACAAAGTGATTTTTTGGCTTGCTATTCTTCTATAGTCAGTAGCCTCAGACATGCGCTTCAATGAGATTTTCACAGAGAAAGAGGTTAAGCAAGAAAAGAAACGGCAACGAGTTATCAACTCAAGATACCGGGAAGATTATATTGAGCCTGCACTATACCGGGCCATCATGGAGTAGGTGCTTCCAGGGTCTAAGAGATTCCCAGCCATCAAGGCAAGAGCACTCTGGGTTCCACAGCACAGCAGACACGGAACTCTGAAGTCTCTGAAAGTGAAGTTGTAAAAAGAAAAGGAATGAAATAACCGACCCGTCATCTTCTCACCCACCCTCATTGCATTCCGCTGTAGTGAAAGGACGAGCTGTTTCTGGGCATGTGGCAGCAGTCGCTCATCTCCCAGCTGAGGGGCTGTGCACTGGAATGCTGTGGCTGCACTGGCCCCAGTCCATAGAGGGGTCAACTGTGCTGGCTGGACTGGCTGCCCTGTTCCTGGTCTAGGACTTAGCTTTGTAACTATCACCTGCACCGACTAGGCTGAGGTGCTGGTACTTGCCCCAACCCCCACTTTTGTATTTATGTATGTATGTGTGTGTGTGTGTGTGTGTGTGTGTGTGTGTATGTATGTATGTATGTATGTTTGGTCTGGACCAGCTTCTGCCAGCCCCTGGCCTTTACTTTCTTCCTTGCCTATGCAGGGCAAACAAAATGTGAAATTCTGCCCTCAGCTGAGCTGAGTAAGGGCTCCTGGGGGTTGGCTGGAGATGGGTGTGGCATCTGTCCAGCCTCGAACAGCCTCAAGACAGTGCTGGCAAAGCTGCAGTATTGAGATGCTAAGGAGTTGATGCCACCTCTTTGTCTTCCCCTGAAGGAGAACATGGGGATAATAAGGGTGTGTGCCCACAACACTCTAGGTGCAGAGCCCCTGTGGCACAGTATTAGAGGGTGTGAGTGGGATTACCCTGAAGTGGGGATTTTAATGATGGAAGCAGGCAGAGCCTGGTGGGTGATTCTGTCAACAGAAAATTGCAATCATGCAGGGGCTGGGAGGGTTAGGATGAAAACCTGGGGCCACTGGAGGCCCACTGTGGGTGGGAGGGAGCTGATTTTGGGGTGGGGGTGGGACAAGAGGGCAATACTGAAGGGGTTAAACAGGTTTTTGCTCTTCATGCATTTGTTTGCCTGGGCCCAGGATTGGAGGGCTTCACACCAATACCCTGTGTATACAAGAATCAAGATTTATAATACTTCCCCTTTTTTTGTTACGTATGAACACTATAAACCAAATTATTTTGAAAACTGGTGCATCACCTTGTTCTTAGCAATAAAATGTGTTGAGCAGAGGATTGGCTGGCTGCCCCAAGGAGCCCAGGTGGCTCAATTCAGGCTGGGGGTATCTCCAGACTTGGGTTTTGGAGCAGGGCTGTGAATTATAAGACACATCAGTAAGGCAGTCCCTATTAAGTTCCAGAGTGGGTCCTTTCCTTGTCAAGCTCTGTATTAGGCCAAGTATGGTGGGTCATGGGGAACAGGGGCACTTCTGGCTCTGAGTACCTCTTTGTTGTGCTTCCTCTGCCTTAGAGTTGGGCAGGATGAGGTAACAGAAAGCACCAGACCAATGAGTTTTCTAAACAGAGTAGCTCACCGCTGCCCCATTTGAGGTATCTTCATTGAGCTGGCCTAAGTTCACGCCAGCATCTGTGTTCTATACAAATTGTGGGACCAGTGTGAAGGATGGGGTGCATTTTATTTAGCTGCTTGAGAAGCAAGGGACTCAACCTCCAGTGGGATCCTAAGATTGCTCTCCAAGCTGTGTAGTTGGTGAGAAACTTCCCTGGAAGAAGACCCAGTCCCCTTTGCCTGGTGGGTCCCTGAGTTCAAAGTGTACAAGGATGGGAGCCATAGAGCAGGGAGGGGCAATGAAGAGGTGCAGGACCTGGGTTCCCTGGAACTGCTCCAGCTGGCTCTTGGACAGCCAGGCACTTCCTGTGGCATGGCCCTGTCCAGGTGCGGGAGAGGCTTGGGTCAGCTCAGCTATTCTGGATGCTTATGTCCCTGGGGGTTGTGAGGTGTTTGCTACTTGGAATCTCATTGTAGAGAAAGGGAGGTCCAGGAGGTGATGCTTTTCTATGTCAGCTCCCTCCTGGGGCCCAGAGAGGGAAGCTGACTTTTTTTTTTTTTGCCCACACTTCACTGGGATTCCCAGGGGATGTAGCAGGGGAGGGTGGGCAGAACCAGGCCTTAAGAAGATTGGTGAGAGAGCACAATCCACTAATCCATACGCCTTTGGAAGAGGAACACTTCACTGGCCTTTTTACACAGGGTCCCTGCCTCTTGACCTCACTGCTTCCAAGGGTTGGTGCCGGGTTTAATCTCAGCAGAGTTCTTAATCAACAGCTGACTAGTTTTCCAGTAACTGCACTTTTTATTAATAACTCTTAGGAAGCCGAAACTCAGTTGATCCAAATCATGCAGACCGGCCTGTTCTCTCCCTTACTGGCTGCCTATGCAGTCAGGCCGATCTTAGAGAACTGGCCCCAGCCAAAGGCCGTACTTCCCGGCCTGCCAGCCCCTTCCTGCCTTAGGCAGCTCTTCCCAGAAGCCTTTTTGTTAGGGCAAACTTTCTTCCCTTAGTAAGATAGGGCTTTTGGATCCAAGGTTGTAGTTTAGAGACCTCCACCCAGACTTTGTTGAGGAATTAAGTTTGAAATTCTGCTCCATGGGGATAAAGCCAGGGCTCTGCCGCAGGAATGAAAAAGTGGGGTGGGAAGGGTGCGAAGTGTATGTGGGGCTTGGAGGCCCTGTGCCGTGCCCGGACTAAAAATGTTCTGTTAGTCTCTGAAGTTAACGCTCACCTTCGTGCCCCTTACCCACCAGGGTCCCCGGAGGTCCGAAGCTCTCGGCCTCAGTGAGCGGACTGGCTGCGCTCATGACCTGGAGGGCGAAAATAAGGCGTCCCTCGGCGTGAAGTGGCCGTGACCACCCTAGCACTTTCCCTTCCCCCGCGCGGGCAACGAAACAGGCTCTCCAGGGGACTGTGCGTCCCTCTGGGTCGTGAAGCCGGGGGAGTAGGGTTCCTCTAGACTACCCGACGTGCCTGGGAAAGCCATACGCGCCGAGCCTCACGCCCCACACTTGCCCCAGCAGTGGTTCCGCTGTAGGCGGGATGGGCGGGCCGGCAAATCCGCGGCTCCTGCGCTATTGGGCCGCTCGGGGCAACGCAGCTTCGCATTGGTCAAGCCCTTGCTCCGCCCGGCTTGCGCGCGCCCATTGGTCGCAGGCGCCCGACCGGGTCGCAGCCGCGCGCTCCGCCCGCCGCTGCGTCCCCACTATGGCGGCGCCCATGCAGCCCATCGCGTCGTGGGCGCCCGCCGGGGTCCCCCGCGGCTGTCGCCGCTCCCTGCGCCGCCGCCTCCGCCTTCCCGCCCCGCGTCGGGCCGGGCGCCACCTACGCCCTGTCTCCCTCTCTGCTGTGGTAAGGGCCTGCCCAGTACGCTTTGGGGCGCGACGGCTGACTGCGAATAACGGTCCCCGCGCCGCCCCGCCCTTCCCCCGCCGGCCGCGGTTCCCGGGCTGGGCGGGGCGCGGAGCCCGCGCGTTAGTGCCCGGGAAGGAGGGGTCGGGATACGGCCCAGTAGTCCTTCGGGCTGGGGACCCAGTACCTGGATGACGTCGCCTGGGAGGGGGCTGCGGATCCTGGGGGGGAGCCTGGGGGAAAGCCTGGCCGGACGCAGGCCAAGCGGTCTGAGGTCGTCTCCGTGCGAGACCCCGCAGCACTGCGCACCTTGGCGCAGAGCACGGACACGGTCATTCGGGCCCTGCTGGGGGAAGAGGAAAGACAAGTCCAGGGAGCGCCTGAGCGGGAATCGGCAGCGTATGGGTAGCAGTTGTCATTGCCTACTCAGTACTGTAGCAGGGGCCAGAACCCGGGTCAGTTTGATTGGCCAAGTACGCCTCTCTTGCTTCCTTTCCTTCTGGCACTTTCCCCCGTTGTCTCGGTGCTTTTGCTTGCAAGAGAAAATATCT